TTTATCTTCTAAATTCATGTGAATGAAGCATCAAACCTGTTCTGTGATGTGGGAAGTCATTAGACTGCTAGCCAACAAGCTAACAACCCCACACATCACCGAACCTGCTGAGTTACCTTTTCTGTCACTCCAACACCAGACACTGGACTTCCTTGTTTAGATTTGAGCCTGTATTCATTGTGAGTTAGCATAAGTTAGCCGGAACTGAGCCGGTCTTCCAGCAGAGCTATTAACTTAGCCTGCTAATGTTAGCTAAGCATGCGCAAACAGGTTGTTTAGCTAATTAGGTAACAACTCTAACAAGTGTACAAACCAGTTTATTAGAGATGGAATATAAATTCAACACTGTTCTAAATTAAAATGGTACTAAACTTTTCTATTATTTTGTGAGAGCAAACATTCATTTAAAAGAGGTGACTCACTAGTCTATGACTTTTAGCAAGTGATGGTAATTTTCATTTTAACATATGAAGAGTTTAACATTAACAAATCATAGGATTACGTTTGAGTAAATGTTTGACGAAAAAACTGTCGATACATCAAATGAATTAAGCATTTGCTTACGAGAAGCATTTTGAAGCTTTCAGAAGCTGCTTTAAAAGCACAATCTGCCTCACTATGGGTGGAATGTACCCTTACATTTTTGCTGACACATCAGTTAGCGAGCCTGGCTCAGCTGTTAACAATAAAAGTCTATGTTCATATCAGTTCAGCTTGCTAGCTTCAAGACTGAAATACAGTGGATAACATATGCTCCCTCTCTGATCATACAGTCATACATTTGATTTAAAAATGTTTCAGTTGCCTTTTGTGTTTCAGTATGACTATAATTTTGGAAATCAAAGTAGAATGAAAGTTGAATGAAAATTTGTCTATTACAGCTCATCTTTTGCTTTTGTTTTCTGTTTCTCATCTTGGTGACTGATGCTCTGTGCATGAATGTGATAAGCAGAATAACTGCAGCAATAACCATCACCGTATTTTTTGCTGTTTTTGATATTAGCGCACGAGTTTAGGCCCTGCTACTATGGTTGTTCAATGGTAAGATTTTTTATTTGTCATCACATGACATACTCAATTGTATATCACATCTTTTTATCTGATTGACAGTCCGAGACCACCAGGCATTCATTTAATTTCCAATTTCCAAACGGCAGTTAAATACAAGTAATTAATCTCTCAGGAGATAATTCTGAGTAGCCGCACTGTTATATGAATCAGAATGCTAGATTATAGGTGATAACAGTATAATTTGTTTGAGTGTAGAAATGATTTTCATGCCAATGTCAAAAGATCATTTGAAATCTTTATTTGAGACCCCTCATCAGCAGTAATCATAAACAGAGGTCATTCTAAAAATCGCCCATCCTTTGTGCTCTCTCTGCCAAAAGGCTCTTAAGGTTTCATGGTGATGCTTTGTGCTTAAAGATGCTCCCTAATCAGCTTTCAGTGGTTTTAGCAGCTCATAGAGATCAACATGTACTATGAGTTTAAAAAGACATCAGTTTAACACAAAAACTGAGTAGTAGCTGATCGACTTTTACAAAAAATGATCATTTACACACATTAATGTTTTGCACCCATTATTCAAAAACTATAGAAGAAAGAAAGCAAACATGCATGTGGAAATAAAAGCTTACCACTCACTAGACTTCACCATCTGTTCATGTTTCAGACTTTTAGTTTAAATCTGTCTGGTTAGGTTTATCAAGGGTTTGAATTATAATCAGTCAAACTGGAGAATGTTGTGGAAGATCAGGGTAAACGCCTGATTCAGAGATCTTCAGGAAAACAATGCAGATCTCAGTTCTGACAATAACAACAAAATTCTTATTAAATTTTCTATAGATTGGCTGAGTGAACTACTGCTGTGAGAGGGATTCTTCAGAATTCTCTCCTGGTAGCAGGACCGCCTCCCCACATTATCACCCCAAATTAAAAACTCTTTAAGTCTACATGATTGTTTATGTATGTGTGTGTGTGTGTGTGTGTGTGTGTGTGTGTGTGTGTGTACGTTTGCTATTTATCTGTTTCGAGAATTTGCCATTTTGTTTGATGAATGAAAGCTGGTTTCTTTTTTGTCCAATAAACACTACTGTGTCCAAAAATGTTACTCTTGTTAATCTACCAGTGAGAGTTCTGTAGCTATGAAGTCTTCTAGCTTTGTAAACTGCACAGTTCATACACCTTAAGAACGAACCAGTTCATGATGAAATTAACTTTACTTTTATTTTACTTTTAGATCTTTGAGATTTCTGTAGCGCTGGTGATTTGTTCCATAATTCAGTCCATCATCTCCATTTGTGTCTCAGCCTTTGCCTGTAAAGCCACCTGCAGCGATGAACCTTCTGTAGGTGTACAATTTTAGTAAAATAAGGACAGTTTCAGAGATGCGATAAAATACCCAGTGGGTATATTCCTGTATATTGTTGTTGAAGAGTTTTGGTGAGTTTTGTTGTTGCACTGCCCCCTTTTGATCAAGAGATCACTGTCAATGAACATGGTTTACACGTTTTCTATCTGCTGTAATGACCTTGTAAAGTGATTCACCCTGTATAAACTATGCAGCTTATGAATCTCTCTGTATGTCTGTAGGTGAACATCACTGTGGCTCCAAACCAAGCAGGATGTCCTGATTACCCCAGTAAACAAGTAATAATATGTCAAATTATCCTTTGAGAGTTAATACTGTAAAAATTGAGCAAAATTACCTTAACATGTGGTACAGTTGTGTACTGTATATTTACAGCCCTTTATTGTCAACTAAGCTGCCTGTTAGTTTTTTTTTTTAAGTTTACATTGTGCAGCTTTTACAATGTGTACATATTTGCTTTACAGTGTCCACTGTATGAAGTCAACAGTGCCACCATTAACAGTGCACCAATGGAAAGTCCTCCACCATACAGTGAGAAAGCTTAATCATCTAACTGAAACTAAGTTACCATCTCCAGATTAGACACCACGATAACATTATATCTGCACTGCCACTATAGAGCTATACATATATGTTTTTTATCATAATACATGCTACACTGCTAATTTTATTTTTATTGTACAGCCTGTAATTTTATTTATACGATGTTTGATGTCAGTTTTTGCATATCATTTTGTTTTTTTTTCTTCCTAAGTATTAGGATGGACTGCACTAATGTAAGGATGTTTCGATAATGCAATCAAAATGTTATAATTTCTTTTTTTAAGTAAATCAGTTTTCAATATGCATTTTTATCCAAAATATTGTTAGATTTTATTTTACATCATTTGGACACATTGTATAGGCCTCTCTATTTTTTTTTATGATTGTAAACCCAATAGTCACTGGTTTAAGTCATTCAGTCCCTCATGAACATCAGTATTATATGTAGATCAGATATGTTTGCGTTATATCCTGTACCTTAAATCAAATATGAAATAATCTCTGTGGATGAAACTGAACCATGGCACACATTTTAGGCAGTGAATTTCTCATGACCATCTACCGTTAACAACTGATAAGGTAGCAGTTATTATATAGATCAGACATTAAAACTACTCCTACTCTAAACCTTTTTTGTAACAATCTATTTGAAGTTATGCAAAAAGCTTTTTAACATACAGTGAAAAAGTATTTGCCCCTTCAAGATTTATTCTATTTTTGCATATTTGTTGCACTCAAATGTTTTAGATCATGATATGAATTGTAATAAAAGATAAAAATAACCCTAGTAAACATGAAATGCTGTTTTTAAATAATTAATTTATTTATTAAAGGAAAATGCTGCTCAGTTCTGCATTGCACTATGTGAAAAAGTAATTGTCCTCTTAGCTACCAAATCAACTAGTTAACCAAATTCAATTAACTGTTGAATTCAGCTTCACTGGCCCACTCCCAGGCATGATTACTGCCAGACCTGTTGAATCTAAACATCACTTTACATAGAACCTGTCTGGTAATGAGAAGCAGGCTAGAAGGTTTGAAAAGCAGCACATGATGCCAAATTTTAAAGACATTCAATGACAGATGTGAAACAGAGTCATAGAAACCTGCAACTATGGAAGAGGGTTACAGAGTCTCTATAAGGCTCTGGGACTCCAGCGAACCACAGTGAAAGCCATTATTTACAAAAGCAAAAAACTTGAAACAGTGGTGAACCTTTCTAGGAGTGCCCGGCCTACCAAAGTGTCTCCAAGAGTGCATCAACGACTCATCCAGGAGGTCAAAAAATAACCCAGACAAACATCTAAAGAACTCCTGGCCTCACTTGCCTCAGTGAAAGCGAGTCATGGCTGGCTTTGTGATGCTAATGGAACTGACCAAAAAACATTGGTCATATCAACAACAGAAAAAAAAACAAAAAACACGGTGTGTTGTGGGAATGCCATCAAAGATGGTGGATGGGTCAGCAACCAATGGAGTTAGCTTGTCAATACACTGATTGGCTACCCTGTATTCCCCTGTGAAAACCCTTTGGAAGACTTTTCTACAATGCTGTCACTCATCTTTGTAGTCCTTTTGCTAAGTGGTTGCTATGCTATTGTAGGTAGTTGTAAGTGTATTGCTGCACAACGGCTATGATATTGAATGTGGTTGCTAGGGTATTGTCTTGTATTGTATTGCAGGTGGTTTTTAGAGTGTTGCTATGTGATTTTGAGGGTATTGCTAGATGGTTACCATGGTGTCAAGGCTGCTAGGATGATGCTAAATGGTTGCTGTTGTATCCCAGGTGGTTGCTATGGTGTTGGAGCAATACACAAATTTTTGCACAACCTTTTTCCTGGGCATTCTTACTAGAAAAAATATATTGTATCAATGCTACACAGAAAACAGAAGGTCTAATCAAAAAAACTGTATATGCCTCAATCAGACTCAATATTCTGGAGTTCATTGTTGAAATTTCAACCTGAGGAACGAGTTAGCAGATGGAAATTTAGCAGAACAATAAGATGAGAAGAATAACAATATAAAAATATCAGATAACAGGACAGTTGTACCTAAGCACAAATGCAGGAGGCTAAAGCTAAACGTTCTGTGTAGAGGCCTTGGATTTTACATTTTAAGGTTTCCACATTAACACTTCCTTTTGTTTTGTCTTGTTGTTTTGTTGTTTTCTTGTAAATTATGACAGTTTTTTGGAAGATCACATTAAAGACGGAAACGATCAGACAAGAAAATATTTTTACATCAGAAAATATTGCAATTTCAAGCTATTGTGGCATCTTGGCATCCCTGAGTTTAGTTTTACTCGAGTTATTCTGTTCTGTAGCTTTAATTTAGCCTTTTCATTTGGGGGACTCTTTATTTTAGGAGAGCCGAGGCTGACAGTGAGAGTGAGCCTACATGGGGACAGTGATTCTCCCTTTTCTGTGCGCTGTTCTAAGCTGAGTTATGGACCAACATTTTGACGTCTCTGAGTTTCTCCTCCTGTACAATATTAAAAGGTAAACATTTAATAGCATTGAGATAAGCACTGAGTTGTAAATGGTCACAACATGTCATAATGAGTGCTGGACCTGCTAGAGTTCAGTCTGTTTGCAGGTGTTTGTTTTAGACCCCTAACAAAGACTTTAACAGAATGCAAACCTGTTTGGAGCTCAGACCGAGACATTTGGAGTCCCTCCTACTTGGACTTGCTCCAGCTTGCAGGAATACATACGTTAATTTTCTGTGGAAAGCAGTGTGTAAGCCACTCCTCCTGAGGGACACAGAAAAGTCTTTCAGAAGAGGAAGAGGAACAGCAAACACCAACTGCACTCCACGACGAAAACAGCAGGTAACAGTAGTTGATTTTATGTTTCATAAACTTATGAATATGTATTAAGTATTCATATATTTAACACAGCAATGTATTTATAACAGGTATATCTATAGTTGTTTGCCTGTAAGGCTGATTTTAATGCTTATTTTTTTGTCTTTTGTTTTCACTGTTTATTTACAGTAACCATGTAATACATAGCACTTTTCTGAAAGTTTATAGGTTTTTGTTTACCTTTTCAAATACAGAGAATCTATATGACTAGACTGATTTCCAGTGTGACATGATGTTCTCTTGTGTGTAATTACTGTTTGCTGTTCATCCTACATTTGTCTTAGTTTATTTAGTGTATTAACCTAATTATTCATTAAAAAAAACAGCAAGTCCTTGTTTTCATTCATTGAATACACAGTTTTTTTTTTTTTTTTTTTATAAAAATACAACCTTAACTTCAAAACATTTTCATTGATTTTAAAGTAAATTAAGAAGTGAATATCGGAAATTCAACCGCTTTTAACTGCCCTCAAGCACTGCCAGTCTAATTGTGATCTTTAACAGTTCTGTTCTAGTTCTCTTGTACTGACAGTGTGATGAATGTTTGGTCTTTCACAGGTGAATAATTCAGATCGCTTTAAAGATGTCGGCCACTGCAGTTCCACTGAGGAATGCCTACACCACTGTGACCCAAGTGATCCCCCCACCAACATCAACTGAACCTGGGCAAATGATCTACACTATAGGCCCACTTCAGAAGTTTCTGAAAGGAAAACCAAAATTATTAGGAGTAAGTGACCCAACTTGCTGGTCAGGTTTTGTGTGAAGTAGTACACATCATTGAAAATCTCTTATCTTCTTGAAATAAGTTTCTTGAAGTGTTTAAGCATTGTTAATGTTTTTTTTTTTGTTTTTGTTTTTTTTTTGTTTGTTTGTTTTAAAACATACAGTTCACTCTCCAGTTCATATATGAAAAGGAAAACTAGTTTCCATTTCTTGAGAAGTACCTGGTGAGCCAACACATTCCCAGAAATAAGATTTACAGTCTCTGCCTAAGGGAAGAAGGGAGAAAGCCTGAGCTTGTTCATCATCATCATCATCATCGTTAACCGCTTAGTCCAGATAGGGTCGCGGTAGCAGTTGGGAGAGCAGAGAATCCCAGGTGACCCTGTCTCCCGCAACTTCCTCCAGCTCATTCCCGGGGACCCCAAGCCGCTCCCAGGCCAACTTGGAGATATAATCCCTCCAGCGGGTCCTAGGACGACCCCGGGGTCTTATTCCGGTAGGCCGTGCCTGGTAAACCCCCCCGGGAGGCGTCCCGGGGGCATCCGGATCAGATGCCCGAACCACCTCAGCTGGCTCCTCTCAATGCGGAGGAGTAGCGGCTCTACTCCGAGCTCCTCCCGGATGGCCGAGCTCCTCACCTTATCAAATAGAGTGTAGCCCGCCACCCTGCGAAGAAAGCTCATTTCTGCCGCTTGTATTCGCAATCTCATTCTTTCGGTCATTACCCACAGCTCATGACCACCAAGGGCCCCCCTGCAATCTCCCACTGCCTGTACGGCACTGCACCACTCCCCCATGCTGGACCTTGCGGGTGGTGGGCCCACATGGTCCCCCCACGTTGCCTCTTCGGGCTGAGCCCGGCCGGGTTACGTGGGCTGCCCGGCCACCAGGCGCTCGCCGAGGGACGCTACCCCCAGGCCTGGCTCCAGGGGTAGGTCCCGGTGACCCTCTCCCGGGCAGGGTACACGATGTTCTGTGTCCGTTTTTCATGGAGGTTTTTGGATCGAGTTAGTCTGGGTCTTCCACCCAGACCTGTTCGCCCTGGGAGACCCTACCAGGAGCATGTTGCTCCCGACGACTTAGCTCTGAAGATCCCTAGACCACACAAGCCCTTCCACCACGACAAGGCCCCGATCCAGGAAGGGTGAGCTTGTTCAGGTTATGTTTATTGTGGAAGCATAACTGTCAGTGGATGGTTCAGGTTCTTGGTTATATTGTGGAATTCCCTGTGGAGTCACAGGGATTTGCTTCAGGGCAGTTCTTTCTCTTTATGTATGTTACCTCTTGGTAAATGTCGTCTTTAGAAAACATGAGATCAGCTGTGATAGCTATGCTGATTACACACAGTTATGTGTCAGACTTTTGTCAGTGGACGTCAGAATGTTATATAGGTGCACAGCCATTTAAAAGAGTCTGTAAAGTGGTGATGATGATTTCAGAAATGGGGAATTCACATTTGCTAAATGTTTGAAATTTGAGATTCAGATTGAATGTTAAGGGACTCAGGTTATTGGGTAACACTTTCTTTGAAGGGTGTCTACATAACACATTCATATCACCTTACATAAACACTTCATAACATGTTCATGAATGCTTAAATCAACATTCATAAACTATACATGTTTTACATGATATTAATATGGACTACTATGTCATTTTACCGAAAGATGTTTTTCAAAATAAAAGTCCTCATTTTATTTATTATTTTCAGCGAAACTCCTCTTTTCTGGACTGTCAGCATAAAATGACCTGGCTTCGTCCCTTTGGACAGAAAATGTTTTCACACTTTTTGCCTAGACTTTCAACTTTTTTTTTTTTTTTCTCAAGCATTTGTATTCTGCAATATGCTATTCTTTCTGCTTTTTACGCTAATTATTCATATATAAAATGTACTGTTCATTCAACACTCTATACATTATTGTGAAAATGTTACTTAAACTAAGTTTAACTTTCTTGGGGTAAATGTTAACACTGTTATCTCAATTACTGTGGAGGTTTTATTTTTAGTGATGTTCTTCCTCACTTACGGTTTTGGAGAAGGCACAAGTATAACTGTGCATTGATTATCCTGCGTAACTGAGGTTAAATGTGACAAGCACTGTTATCACAAGGAATGATTCCTTTTTGGCATTACTTCATAGTACAATCGAGTGGTGGCTCTTTGACTTTCCTCACTCAGGGTGCTGATAAATTTGCCTTGCTTTGTCTTCACCATAAAAGTGATGGAAGTCACGTTATCCTCACTAAAGTGCATGTTACATGAATGGATGGATCATGAATGGAATGGATAAGTATTATGGACCTGTCCCACCACCACACAAAGTTTGAGACTTTAAGTTGATTGACTGTTCATAGCATATTTATGAGTATTTCACTGTCCATATAGTAAAGTGACATGCAAGACAACATTCATAAGTGATTCATAGCATTTTAAGGAGCTGTTAATATACCATATAGTAAAGTGACATGCAAAGCCACATTCATAAGTGATTTGTAGCATTTTTAAGAGATGTTTACAGACCATGTGTATAAACAGTGATAGTGATTTACAATTAAATATCTACAATTATTTTCCCTACCTTTGCAGCAAAACCCAATGACTGTGAAAAGGAGTCAATAAACACCACAAGTAGGAAGGTCCTTTTTTTTTATTGGCAAGACCACTGTTCAGAACAGGCACTTAAACATGCTGCTCAAAATCAAATCAGGACAAACTCTTCTGAACATGGAACTGCAAAATAGGCAAAAATAAAATAATCCTCCTTTACAGTAAAATAAAGCTCTGCTAATCATTCAACACAGTTTCAACTATAAACGGTCTTAAACACTGGAGTTAATATAGCTGTGACGAATCAACAGAAACCAGACGCTCGCGGATAAAAAGGAGAGTATCAGGTTTACTTCCAGAATCAAAATCCAAAAGCGTAGTCAAAGAACAGGCAATGGTCAAATCCAGCAAACCCAGTAGAAGTGTTACCATAAGCATAACACCAGACAAACAAACACAAAAGGGTAAGGCAAAAGACGTAGTTGTAGAGGCAGGCAAAAGGTCAAAACACGAATCAAAACACAGTCCAGCAAAAGTACAAAGGGATTGAGCAAAAAGGCAGAGTCAAAAAACAAAAAAAGCAAACGGTCAAAAACAGGATACAATCAATGATGAGGAGCGCTCAGTAGTTTACAGTGAAACAATACCTCGCAACTAGACATGACTAAAGCCCGGGCTTATATACTAAACTACGAGTCATATGACTGCACACACAGGTGAAACATATTAGTATTCGGGTGACTGAGAACGCTGATAGGAGCGTGATAAAGAGTGAGAAGTCATGTGATCTCTCAGAGGAGTCTGGGACATGGAGTCCATGTCTCTCTGAGAACATGCTGGATGTGTGACAATAGCCTATATCTGCTAATTAACCCTTTAACCCTGCAGGCGTGCAGACAGTCAGCAGTCTTGCCCAGCTAGCTAGCTTAGTAAGTAAGTTAGCTAACAAAAAAGCGAAGGGAAAGATTTAAGACAAACATCAGTAATTTGGATACAAATGGACTTGGACTATGAATTCATTATCACTCCAGTTTGTTTCCTGATATATTTAATCTGTAACGAGAAACTTCGAAAAAACGAAGTTTAAAAGACGTTTTACAAGAATTATTTCACTTTTTTACAAGATTATTTTACTTTTCGGCAAATTTTCGTGGTGGAGATGCGAGACACGTGGCTATAGCTGAGATAAAGGTTAAAGGAGAGCAAAGTAAGTCTTTCATTTATATACTTTTAGCCTATACTAGCACATTAACACATACTGAGACACATTACAGCCAGGATAGTAAAATGACTTTTGTTGACACTTCGCCGACCCCTGGTATAGACCACGTCACTAGCCAAACGTGCATCTTGCATTTGGGACTAGCTTACCGTATCACTCCGCATCGCACTGCTGTGTGTCATAAGTAATGCTCATTTAGGCCCACTAGCGTTAACTACTTCAGCTCGACTGGCACCGTTACAAACAGTAAGCTAAGGTAAATCAGTATCAGTTATTTTAAGTTCGGAAAAAAAAGAATGTTGTTAACAAGAGCCGCATAAGGTCTATTTATCTTTGGGGCTTAACTGAATCATGTAACTTAGCTAACTAACCTACGTGACGTTAACATGAACGTTAGCTTGATGCATTTTAATAGCTAATGTAAGGTAGTGTTGGCCTGCTAGCTAGTTAGCAAAGTTTCTTGGCTACAGTTACTGATCATAAGCAAAGTAGGTTAGCTAATTTAACTGCTATACTGCTAGTTATATATCATTCCTCTGCTATGACAGTCTATCTAGCCCACTAACATAACCTAACGTTCATGCGCTTTCAGTATAAATAGGCTGATCCTGTACGTGTAGAGTTCCACACGTCTGACTGCTCGTGTTTGACCTTTTTAATAGCCAGAAGAGGACAGACAACCAGCTGCAGTGCCAGTATCATGATATCTTCAGACTCTTGCAGTGACTTGTGTCGTTTTGTTTATTTTCTTCATATTTTGTTTTGTTTTTCAGAGAATTTAAAATAATTTCAGTCTAAGATGAAAAGGAGCAAAGTGAAGGCAGTACCCCTTCAGTAACGGCCACATGAGGTGGTGTCTTTTATTTTTCGTTTTAGAAAAGAGTTGAAGATTTTATTGAACACATCTGTATTTTCCATGTTCAGAAGAGTTTGTAGTTTCCTGATTTGATTTTGAGCAGCATGTTTAAGTGCCTGTTCTGAACAGTGGTCTTGCCAATAAAAAAAAAGGACCTTCCTACTTGTGGTGTTTATTGACTCCTTTTCACAGTCATTGGGTTTTGCTGCAAAGGTAGGGAAATAATTGTAGATATTTAATTGTAAATCACTATCACTATTTATACACATGGTCTGTAAACATCTCTTAAAAATGCTATCAATCACTTATGAATGTGGCTTTGCATGTCACTTTACTATATGGTATATTAACAGCTCCTTAAAATGCTATGAATCACTTATGAATGTTGTCTTGCATGTCACTTTACTATATGGACAGTGAATTACTCATAAATATGCTATGAACAGTCAATCAACTTAAAGTCTCAAACTTTGTGTGGTGGTGGGACAGGTCCATAATACTTATCCATTCCATTCATGATCCATCCATTCATGTAACATGCACTTTAGTGAGGATAACGTGACTTCCATCACTTTTATGGTGAAGACAAAGCAAGGCAAATTTATCAGCACCCTGAGTGAGGAAAGTCAAAGAGCCACCACTCGACTGTACTATGAAGTAATGCCAAAAAGGAATCATTCCTTGTGATAACAGTGCTTGTCACATTTAACCTCAGTTACGCAGGATAATCAATGCACAGTTATACTTGTGCCTTCTCCAAAACCGTAAGTGAGGAAGAACATCACTAAAAATAAAACCTCCACAGTAATTGGGATAACAGTGTTAACATTTACCCCAAGAAAGTTAAACTTAGTTTAAGTAACATTTCCACAATTATGTATAGAGTGTTGAATGAACAGTACATTTTATATATGAATAATTAGCATAAAAAGCAGAAAGAATAGCATATTGCAAAATACAAATGCTTGAGGAAAAAAAAAAAAGTTGAAAGTCTAGGCAAAAAGTGTGAAAACACTTTCTGTCCAAAGGGATAAAGCCAGGTCATTTTATGCTGACAGTCCAGAAAAGAGGAGTTCGCTGAAAATAATAAATAAAATGAGGACTTTTATTTTGAAAAACATCTTTCGGTAAAATGACATAGTAGTCCATATTAATATCATGTAAAACATGTATAGTTTATGAATGTTGATTTAAGCATTCATGAACATGTTATGAAGTGTTTATGTAAGGTGATATGAATGTGTTATGTAGACACCCTTCAAAGAAAGTGTTACCGTTTATTACATATGTGAGCCATGGTTATATTTGGAACATTCCAAATTTTTATTTTAGTTAAACATCCTACATGCACTGAAGTTTATTAAAATTGACTCATTTGAGCTCTACTGAAAATGTACTTCCATCAGCTGCAATAGACGTCTGCAACGTTCAGTATTCAAATTCAACCAGTATTGAGATCAGTCAAATATCTGTCTCTTTCTTTTTCCCACAGAGTGTTCAAATAACCATCGGTTTGTTGAAACTCTTACTTGGTATTGTGATGATGGTGATGAACTCTTACATGTCCACTGTCTTCGGTGGAATTGCATTTGGGTTTGCTTGGATGGTAAGTTTTATCTGCTGGTATTCCATCAGATAGAGATACTTCTTTAAATATTCCCCAATACTAATTTAAATGAAAACTCTGTCATTTTTCCTCTCACTCAGTACATCATCACCGGCTCTCTGGCTGTTTCAGCAAGTATAAACCTTAATCACCGTGTGGTATGTAAACACCCGTTTTAGTGTTTTTTACATTCATTGCAGAAACTGAACTATATCATTTATTCCTAAGAAATAATTTGGTCCCACTCTCTATGTATCAATTTCAGTGTTTTCTCATGTAGTAACACAAGCATATCCCAGTAGCTGTAACAGCATGTTTCTGCTTATGTAATTACACATGTGTAACAGTGTTATGGTAGTTATGTTTGTATAAGCTGAGGTATAGAAGTGGTTGCTGTGTAAAACATTACAGACTTTGATTAGGTTTCCATGCTTTACATGGCAACAGCATATGTCCATTTCTCTGTTGATGTAAAATATAGAAATGTATGTAGGTACTGTGAATTTACAGATTGAAATTAATACTGTCTTTGTGTGGGTCTGTATGTAGATGTAGTAAAATTATTACTGTTACAATCAGATAAGACTTGTTGGAAACTCTATGACATACTGATAACTATATAAGAGACAATAAGCCATTATGATTATCATGATTTGTGCAACTTGTGCAACTGAATGAGTAAAAACTGAAGTTGATAAACTTGTGTATTTTCATAAACTGTACTACTGTAATCCATCTGTAACAGTGAATACATTACCTGTAGTTACATTGTTGTTACATGATATACATTAAGCATTCAATAATGAATGAAAACTGATTGAATACATTATTGGCTGCCTTTACCTAATACACTGATAACTTACATACTTAATAGCAGGGGTGAGGAGTCATGCCAATACTTTTTAAGTGCAAAATCTTTTGACGTTCTGGTGGAACAAGGGTCTAAATATGATCTTTTCTTGACAAAAGTATTTCACAAAAATCTGTTTTGTTTACCTCTTGAGAATTTAATTGCGCAGAAATTCCCCTGTAAGTAACAGAAAGTTTGATTTTGAGCTAATTGATTATCAGTATCATTACACTGTACATATTTTTAGCTTCCACAACAACAACAACAACAAAACAGAATTTCCCAGAATTGTTTCTTGTTCACTCAACTTTTGTAAATTATTAGTTATCCTGACTGACATTTTTTTGTCAACGCTAAAATAAATATTTAGTTTGGCTATCATGAGAACATATGTGGTGCTAAGAAGTACCACTAGTCTTGAGAAAAGCTCTTTGAGCTGAGCAATCAATAATCTGCCAATAATCTGTAATGTCATACATTAAGCCACTGTATACAGTATCATGTCTTGTAAATGTCACAATTCTTAAAGCTCACCTGTGTTCACCAGCATGTAGACATGAACAGATCACACCACAAAGCATTTTGAAGAAATTGCTTTAATTGTCTAAATGTATACAGAACAATTCAGACAGAATCCACTATGAAATTAGTGGAATAATAATTACATAAGTAAAGAAACAGTTACAATGTTGTTTACCAAAAATTACAAACTAAACTGGTGAGTGCAGTTCACCATTAAACTTAATTATTTATTTACACTCACTGGCTACTTAATTATGTACAGTGATCTTGCATCTGTGCTCATTTTCCATTTAATCAGGTCCATCTAATGTATAGGTGCACATTGTCATTCTGTAATTTCAGATTGTAGTTGATCTGTTTCTCTGCATAGTCAACCCTTTCACCTCATTCATCATTTATCTGGACCCCAACCAGGACCACCACAGAGCAGGTATTATCATTTCGTTCTCAGCACTGCGGTCACACTGGTAACGGTAATATGTGTGGTACTGCTACAAGTGTATGGGACACAGTAATGCTTTAAACAACTAAGTGTCACTGCTGGAGTGAGAATACCAACAGCTTCCTGTGACCACTGATGAGGGATGAGAGGATGACCAACACAAACTGTGCAGCAGCAGATGAGCTGTTGTCTCTGACTTTACATCTTCAAGGTGGACCAACAACGTAGGAGTGTCTAATACAATGGACAGTCAGTGGCCACAGTGTTTAAAACCTCCAGCATCACTGCTGTGTCCAATACACCAACCAAATAATACCTGCTCTGTGGTGGTCCTGTGGGGGATCTGACCACTAAAGAACAGGGTGAAAGGGGGCTAAAAGGTATGCAGAGAAACAGCTACACTGCAATCTGTAAGTTAGTAGTACCTTAAAAGTGTCCAGTGAGTGTATATATGTGCGGAAGAGAAAGACAACAAGAGAATGAACATGTTAAGTTTAAGTCACTGTGCTAAATACACTCGACCCTTAACAGATGGAGGTCTCTGGTCAATGTCGTTGTCACTGTCAGCTTCTTTGGCTGCATCAAAAATGGAAAAAAAAGTAAGCACAATTAGTAATAAACACTCACCAGATATATAATATGTATTGTATAAATACATAAATAAAATAAAAAATGACCAATAATAGTTTCAACAATTACGATATCAGATTAACACTGATTTAAAAACTGACTTAAAAACTGAGGAGAAAATTTTAATAATCAAACAGTAAAAAACATAATAAGTGTTCTTACTCAGTAACTGTTTTTTCCCAATGGTTATTACAGTCAATAGGCAATCAGGAAAGATAGAAACAAAGACATAGTCGTGGTGACGTTTTGTTAAAGTTTAAAATGCTTATGTAAATCAAAGACAGACATATTTATTTTGGGCGATTACGATTAAACTGACAAAAAAATGCTAAAAAAAAACAAAAGCTGCTTTCGTACCTGAGAAATGCTAACTGTAGACCTAGGAGATGTGAAGGTCATCACAAGATAAGTACACATTTGGATAAACCTTAAAGCAGTAAATGAGAAGAAGAGAGAACAAAGATTTCACAAATATTAGTCTGATACAGGATTTTAAGTCACTTAGCATCTAGTTACCAAATCACAGCTCAGTTGAAATAACTTTCTCTTTTAACTGTAAATACAGCTTCAGTCACTCCCTCAGATTTCTGTTTTTATCTTCTAAACTCAAACCTGGTCTGTGGTGTGTGAAGCCATTAGCCTGCTAGCCAGTTCTTCAATGGAAGTGAAGCCTGCAAGCTAACAACCCCACACATCACAGAACCTGGTTAGTTTCTCCTTTTCTTTCACTCCAACACCAGACACTCGACGTGTCTTGCTCAGATTTGAGCCTGTATTCATTGTGGATTAGCATAAGTTAGCCGCAACTGAGCCGATCTTCCAGCAGAGCTGTTAACTTAGCTTGCTAATGTTAGCTAAGCATGCACAAACAGGTTAGTTAGCTAATTAGGTAACAACTCTAACAAGTGTACAAACCAGTTTATTAGAAATGGAAAATAAATTCGACACTGTTTCAAATTCAACATAAGATAAAAAAAAACTCTTCTCTTATTATTTTGTGAGAGTGATGATTCATCTAAAAGAGGTAACTTGTTAGTCTTCCACAGCAGATAAAGACGAGCTAACTGACTGTTAGCAAGTGATGATCATTTTCATTTTAACATATGAAGAGTTCAACATTAACAAATCATAGGATTATGTTTGAGTAAATGTTTGATGAAAAAACTGTCAGAATGTCAAACAAACAAAGCATTTGCTTATGAGATGCGTTTTCAAGCCCTCTGACTTTTCCAGATGCCACTTTACATGGAAAATCTGCCTCAGTATGGGTCGAATCTGCCCTTACATTTTTTCCTGAAGAATCAGCTGGCAAACTTTGCTCAACAGTTAGCAGTAATGGTCTATGTTCCTAACAGTTTAGTTTGCTGGCCTCAAGACTGAAATACAGTGGAGAGCATATGCTCCCTCTCTGATCATACATTTGATTTAGACATGTTTCAATTGCCTTTTGTGTTTCAGTATGACAGTCATTTTGGAAATCAAAGTAATTGAATGAATTTTTTTTATTGGTGCTCATCTTTTGCTTTTGTTTTCTGTTTCTCATCTAGGTGAGGGGTGCTCTGGTGATGAATGTGATAAGCCTAATAACTGCAGCAATAATCTTCGCTGTGTTCTTGGCGTTTTTGGTGTCAGCCCAATGGTGTAGTCCCAGCGATAATTGTTCTGTGGTAAGAATTTTTTATTTGCCATCACATGACATAATTAGTTGTATATCTCATCCTTTGATTCACAGTCAGAGACCACCTTAAATCACTTTCCAGAGGAAATTACAGTTAATTACAAATAATTCATTTGTCAGGAGATATTTAGACTTTTAGATTAGACATAAAACAGTCTCCGCTATAACTCATCCCAAAAGTGTTCTGTCAGGTGGAGGTCAGGCCAGTCAAGCTCTTCCACACCAAACTCACTCATCCATGTCTTTATGGACCTTGCTTTGTGCACTGGTGCGCAGTCATGTTGAAACAGGAAGGGGCCTTGCCCAAACTGTTCCCACAAAGTTGGGAGCATGAAATTGTCCAAAATGTCTTGGTTTGCTGAAGCATTAAGGGTTCCTTTCACTGGAACTAAGGGGCCGAGCCCAACTCCTGAAAAACAACCCCACAACATAATCCCACCACCCCCAAACTTTACACTTGGCACAATGCAGTGAGACAATTACCGTTCTCCTGGCAACCGGACTGCCAGATGGAGAAGTGTGATTTGTCACTCCAGAGAACACGTCTCCACTGCTCTAGAATCCAGTCGCGGTGTGCTTTACACCACCACATTCAACTCTTTGGATTGCGCTTGGTGATGTAAGGCTTGGATGCAGCTGCTTGGTCTTAGAAACCCATTCGATGAAGCTCTCTACGCTGTTCTTGAGCTAATCTGAAGGCCACATGAAGTTTAGAGGTCTGTAGCGATAGACTTTGCAGAAAGTTGGCGACCTCTGCGCACTATGCGCCTGAGCATCCGCTGACCACGCGCTGTCATTTTACGTGGCCTACCAGTTCGTGGCTGAGTTGCTGTCATTCCCAGCGAGGAAATTTCATGACTCGATTTGCACACGTGGCATCCTATCACGGTACCATGCTGGAATTCGCTGAGCTCCTGAGAGCGACCCATTCTTTCACAAATGTTTGTAGAAGCAGTCTGCATACCTAGGTGCTTGGTTTTATACACCTGTATAAATATATATATATATATATATATATATATATATATATGTATATATATATATATATATAGTTGCGACACTAAAATATATCATAATTACATAATAAATGTAAATAAAAACAAAATATAATGCTTTGCAAATCTCATAGATTTTATTCACAATAGAACATAGAACATATATCAGATGAAAGTGACAGATTTTTTTTTCATGAAAAACTCATTTAGAACTTGATGGCAGCAATGCATCTCAAAAACATTGGGACAGGGCAACAAAAGTCTGGAAAAGTAAGTGGTACCAATAAAAAACAGCTGGAGGAGCAATTTGCAAGTCAAATGACTGGGTATAAAAAGAGCGTTCTAGAGAGGCAGAGTCTCTCAGAAGTAAAGATGGGCAGAGGTTCACCAATCTGTGAAACACTGCATCTAAAAATTGTGGAACAATTTCAGAAAAATGTTCCTCAACGTAAAATTGTAAAGACTTTGGCTATCCCACCATATACAGTACATAATATCATCAAAAGATTTTGCGAATCTGAAGAAATCTCTGTATGCAAGGGACAAGGCCACTGGTCAGTATTGAATGCTCGTGATCTTTGGGCCCTCCGGAGGCACCGCATTGAAAACAGGCATGATTCTGTACTGGTAATCACTGCGTGGGCTCAGGAACACTTACAGAAATCATTGTCTGAGAACACAGTTTACTGTGCAATCCACAAATGCAAGTTGAAGCTGTATCATGCAAAGAAGAAGCCATATGTCAACACCATCCAGAAATGCTGCCATCTTCTCTGGGCCCAAGCTCATTTAACTGAGGCAAAATGAAAAACTGTTTTGTGAACAGATGAATCAAAATTTAAAATTATTTTTGGAAACCACGGACGCCGTGTCCTGCAGACTGAAGTGGAGAGGGACCATCCAGCTTTTTATCAGAGCACAGTTCAAAAGCCTGCATCTCTGATGGTATGGGGTTGCGTTGGTGCCTAAGGTGTGGGCAGATTACACAGCTGGAAAAGAACTATCAATGCTGAACAGTATATAGAGGTTTTAGAACAACATATGCTCCCATCCAGACAACGTCAGTTTCAGAGAAGGCCTTGCATATTTCAGCAAGACAATGCTAAACGACATACTGTCACTTTAAATATGTGATATGCGTTCTATGTTCTATTGTAAATACAATATGGGTCTATGAGATTTGCAAATCATTGCATTCTGTTTTTATTTACATTTATTTACATTTTATACAGCATCCCAAATTTTGGAATTGGGGTTGTGTATTCCATTTGGATTACTTGTCATTGATTAAGGATGTTTAATTAAATAAAGAAAAGAGGAACATAGTTTCAACAAGACTTCTTAGAAAGATTTTAACTCAACACATGCCAAACACAAAGAATGCACTCAGAATGTTAGATTATAGGTGGAGCAATTTATGGAAATACTTAAAACATAAAGATGGCAAATTTGTCTCACAGTATAATTTGTTACATTGATACATCATGCCTGTTGATGCTCCCTAATCCCTAAGTTTTAGCAGCTCATAGAGATCAACATGTACTACGAGTTTAAAATCAGTTTAACACAAAAACTAAGTAGAAGCTGATCGACTTGTTTGCGGAAAAATGATACACATTAATGTTTTGCACCCATCATTCAAAAACTATAGAAGAAAGAAAACAACCATACATGTGAAAATGAAAGCTTACCGCTCACTAGACTTCACCATCTGTTCATGTTTCAGACTTTTAATTTAAATCTGTCTGGTTAAGTTTATCAAGGGTTTGATGTAAAATGAGTCAAGCTGTGGAATTTTACAGAGCAGAGCTGATTTCCACATCAGATCAGTCTACTGATGTAGAATCTGGGGGTGTGGAAGATCAGGGTAAACACCTGATTCAAAGATCTTCAGGAAAACAATGCAGATTTCTGACAATAAAATACTTATTACATTTTCTATAGATTAGCTGAGTGAACTGCTGCTGTGAGAGGGATTCTTCAGAATTCTCTCCTGGTAGCAGGAACGCCTCCCCACATTATCACCCCAAATTAAAAACTCTTTAAATCTACATGAATTTTATATATATATATATATATATATATATATATATATATATATATATATGTGTGTGTGTGTGTGTGTGTGTGTGTGTGTGTGTACTTTTGCTTTTTATCTGTTGCTGAAAAAATAAGAATTTGCCATTTTGTTTGTTGAATGAAAGCTGGTTTCTTTTTTGCCCAATAAACACTACTGTGTCCAAAAATGTTACTCTTGTTAATCTACCAGTGAGAGTTCTGTAGCTATGAAGTCTTCACATGGCTTTGTTTAGTTCATACACCTTAAGAATGAACCTGATTATGATGAATTTAACTTTACCTTTGTTTTATTTTTTAGATCAATGTGATTTTGGTAGTGCTGGTGATTTGTTCCATAATTCAGTTCATCATCTCCATCTGTGTCTCAGTCTTTGCCTGTAAAGCTGCCTGGAGCGATGAGCCTTCTGTAAGTTTCAGATAAAATAAGGACAGTTTCAGAGATGCAATAAAATACCCAGTGGGTATATTCCTTTATATTGTTGTTGAAGAGTTTTGTTGAGTTTTGTTGTTTACACTGCCCCCTTTGATCAAGAGATGACTGTCAATGAACATTGTTTATACATGTTTTCTATCTGCTGTAATGACCTTGTATGCAGCTTATGAATCTCTCTGTATGTCTGTAGGTGAACATCACTGTGGCTCCAAACCAAGCAGGACGTCCTGATTATCCCAGTGAGCAGGTAATAATGTATAAAAACAACTAAGTTGCTGGTTACTTACTGTATAAAGTTTACAGTCTACAGCTTTTACAATATGTGCATATTCTTTGCTTCACAGTATCCACTGAATGCAGTCAGTGATGCCTCCATGAAAAGTCCACCAATGGAAAGTCCTCCATCATACAGTGAGATAAAAGATAACTGAGACTAAAAACATCTCCAGATGAAACACCACAATAACACTATAAATATTCTGCTACCATAGAACTTTACAGTGTTTTTTTCTTCCAAAGTATTAATGCGGGTGCTCTGATGCAAACATGTTTCAATAATGTTATGAAAATGTCTATGATTTTTTAAAATAAATATAGAATATGTTCAAGTGACATAAAATACAATCTAACAAAATTTTGTCCAAATACGCATGTTTTAAATTCATTTATCTTAAAAAATCATAGACATTTTCATGTAGGTTCACCTATATATATATTTGTTTATTATTTGTAAACCCAGTAGTCATTGTCTTAAATCATTCAGTCCCTCATGAACATCAATGTCATAAGTAGGTCAGATATGTTTGTGTTATATCCTGTATCTTAGATCATGCAAAATATACCATAATCTCTTTGGATGAAACTTAACCATGGCAGAAATATTGGTAACACTTTATAATAAGGTTCATTTATAAAACATTTATAAGCTTTTAATTCATAATTAACTAATCATGAACTCATGATGTATTTAGGGTTATAAATCATTAATTAATATATTAACAACACTTTATAAGACACCTATAAGCTTTTACTTCATGATTAACAAATGATGAGTAGCTCAGGAATTCAGTAGTTATTCATCAGTTATGTCCATACTATAATACAAATTCATATGTTAATAGCATATTTACAACCATTTAGGAGTTCTTTAGCCAAAAAACCTTTCAAAGTAAAACATCTATAAACCCCTACTTTGTGATTTACTAATCATAAACTAATCAAGTATTAAGAGTTGTTCTTCATTGTTTTATACATTAATGGCAGTGGTGCCATTTGAGCAATACAGTCTACAACATGTCCTCTTTACAAGATATCAGGGTTTTATAATGGCCCATATATAATAATACATAGAACTGTCATCACACCTCCCTGGAGAACTCCTTATTCGCGGTCTGCATATGTATGAAGACCTGGTGTTGTTAATGACTGTTTCCCATCACTGCAAACCTGTCATGCAGGTTTCTCCACTACAACGTCTGGACAATTTGATACTTCCTCTCTAGGACAGTAACCTAAGTGCTTGTCCAGTACCTTGCAATCTCAAGGCTTGATTAAAGTCAGGCCCTTTCAAATGATCAAAAGGGTTACTTATATCACCCCACTGCTGCGTTCTTTTCACTGGTGTCCAGTAACTGTTCACATCAGATTTAAACTCTGACACCTGCCTACAAAGCCAAAAAATGGACCAGCTCCTTCCTACCTGATGACCTAGAGCAGTTTAAGCTTCAATACAGCCCAGCTTGACCCTGGACACATGAAAAGACAAACATCAAGACTCTTCCATTGGAGCCCATGTGGTGGAACAAACTTCCACTGGACAGCAGAATTCCTCACCATCTTCAAATGGCGACTGAAGATCCATCTTTGGACTCCAGCCTATTAACAGTATTTACTATTTACAGCCTATTTACATTTTCTGAGTGGACAAGAAAGCACTCAGAATGCTACTATTTCATAACTAATGATTGACAAATCAGGATGTTATTTACTTGTAGTGAATGTACTGCATATGCATTTATCTAAAAAAAAACAACAACAAAAAAAACATTACATTAAAAAATAAAATCTTCACAAATCGAAGCTGCTAATTCAATATGCCTTTTGGGGTAACATTTTCTTTGAAGGGTGTCTACATAACACATTCATATCACCTTACATAAACACTTCATAACATGTTCATGAACGCTTAAATCAACATTCATAAACTATACATGTTTTACATGATATTAATATGGACTACAATGTCATTTTACCAAAAGATGTTTTTCAAAATAATAGTCCTCATTTTATTTATTATTTTCAGCGAAACTCCTCTTTTCTGGACTGTCAGCATAAAATGACCTGGCTTCATCCCTTTGGACAGAAAATGTTTTCACACTTTTTGCCTAGACTTTCAACTTTTTTTTTTTTCTCAAGCATTTGTATTTTGCAATATGCTATTCTTTCTGCTTTTTATGCTAATTATTCATATATAAAATGTACTGTTCATTCAACACTCTATACATAATTGTGAAAATGTTGCTTAAACTAAGTTTAACTTTCTTGGGGTAAATGTTAACACTGTTATCTCAATTACTGTGGAGGTTTTATTTTTAGTGATGTTCTTCCTCACTTATGGTTTTGGAGAAGGCACAAGTATAACTGTGCATTGATTATCCTGTGTAACTGAGGTTAAATGTGACAAGCACTGTTATCACAAGGAATGATTCCTTTTTGGCATTACTTCATAGTACAGTCGAGTGGTGGTTCTTTGACTTTCCTCACTCAGGGTGCTGATAAATTTGCCTTGCTTTGTCTTCACCATAAAAGTGATGGAAGTCACGTTATCCTCACTAAAGTGCATGTTACATGAATGGATGGATCTTGAATGGAATGGATAAGTATTATGGACCTGTCCCACCACCACACAAAGTTTGAGACTTTAAGTTGATTGACTGTTCATAGCATATTTATGAGTAATTCACTGTCCATATAGTAAAGTGACATGCAAAGCCACATTGATAAGTGATTCATAGCATTATAAGGAGCTGTTAATATACCATATAGTAAAGTGACATGCAAAGCCACATTCATAAGTGATTGATAGCATTTTTAAGAGATGTTTACAGACCATGTGTATAAATAGTGATAGTGATTTACAATTAAATATCTACAATTATTTCCCTACCTTTGCAGCAAAACCCAATGACTGTGAAAAGGAGTCAATAAACACCACAAGTAGGAAGGTCCTTTTTTTATTGGCAAGACCACTGTTCAGAACAGGCACTTAAACATGCTGCTCGAAATCAAATCAGGAAACTACAAACTCTTCTGAACATGGAAAATACAGATGTGTTCAATAAAATCTTCAACTCTTTTCTAAAACGAATGAAGACACCACCTCATGCGGCCATTACTGAAGGGGTACTGCCTTCGCTTTGCTCCTTTTCATCTTAGACTGAAATTATTTTAAATTCTCTGAAAAACAAAACAAAAATATGAAGGAAATAAACAAAACGACACAAGTCACTGCAAGAGTCTGAAGATATCATGATACTGGCACTGCTGCTGGTTGTCTGTCCTCTTCTGGCTATTAAAAAGGTCAAACACGAGCAGTCAGACGTGTGGAACTCTACACGTACAGGATCAGCCTATTTATACTGAAAGCGCATGAACGTTAGGTCATGTTAGTGGGCTAGATAGACTGTCATAGCAGAGGAATGATATATAACGAGCAGTATAGCAGTTAAATTAGCTAACCTACTTTGCTTATGATCAGTAACTGTAGCTAGCCAAGAAACTTTGCTAACTAGCTAGCAGGCCAACACTACCTTACATTAGCTGTTAAAATGCATCAAGCTAACGTTCATGTTAACGTCACGTAGGTTAGTTAGCTAAGTTACATGATTCAGTTAAGCCCCAAAGATAAATAGACCTTATGCGGCTCTTGTTAACAACATTCTTTTTTTTCCGAACTTAAAATAACTGATACTGATTTAACTTAGCTTACTAGCTTAACGGTGCCAGTCGAGCTGAAGTAGTTAACGCTAGTAGGCCTAAATGAGCATTACTTATGACACACAGCAGTGCGATGCGGAGTGATACGGTAAGCTAGTCCCAAATCAAAGGTGCACATTTGGCTAGTGACGTGGTCTATACCAGGGGTCGGCGAAGTGTCAACAAAAGTCATTTTACTATCCTGGCTGTAATGTGTCTCAGTATGTGCTAATGTGCTAGTATAGGCTAAAAGTATATAAATGAAAGACTTACTTTACTCTGCTTTAACTATAGCCACGTGTCTCGCATCTCCACCACAAAAATTTGCCGAAAAGTAAAATAATCTTGTAAAAATAATTCTTGTAAAACGTCTTTTAAAGTTCATTTTTTTCCGAGGCTGAAATCAACTTCTCGTTCGCCAGCTTGTTTTTCGAATTTACCCGTTCCACCTTAAATGGCGCCTGATGTGCCAGAATGTAACTGCTGCAGCATTTAAGGTGGAACGGGTAAATTCGAAAAACAAGCTGGCGAACGAGAAGCTGATTTCAGCCTCGCGACTTTTCAGTATTTGATAGTTTCTTGTTACAGATTAAATATATCGGGAAACAAACTGGAATGAATGAATGAATTCATAGTCCAAGTCCATTTGTATCCAAATTACCGATGTTTGTCTTAAATTTTTCCCTTCGCTTTTTTGTTAGCTAACTTACTTACTAAGCTAGCTAGCTGGGCAAGACTGCTGACTGTCCTGCTGTGAACGGAAGTCTGCACGCCTGCAGGGTTAAGGGGAAATTAGCAGATATAGGCTATATTAACTCCAGTGTTTAAGACCGTTTATAGTTGAAACCTTGTTGAACGATTAGCAGAGCTTTATTTTACTGTAAAGGAGAATTATTTTATTTTTGCCTATTTTGCAGTTCCTGATTTGATTTTGAGCAGCATGTTTAAGTGCCTGTTCTGAACAGTGGTCTTGCCAATAAAAAAATAGGACCTTCCTACTTGTGGTGTTTATTGACTCCTTTTCACAGTCATTGGGTTTTGCTGCAAAGGTAGGGAAAATAATTGTAGATATTTAATTGTAAATCACTATCACTATTTATACACATGGTCTGTAAACATCTCTTTAAAATGCTATGAATCACTTATGA